TAATATATTCTTAATTTATATTTTAAAGATATAAAATAAAAAAATTCTTATGTAAATTAATAATAATTTAAAAACACATATTAGAGAATTGGTTTTTTTAATTAGCGTGCTTTTGTTAGATTAATTACCTACTAAGCACGAAAACAATAACAAATGGCAGAAATATCTTCCATCCGGTCGGGAAAGTTGTTGGAGTGCACGACTGTAACGAGACAATTCTAGATCAATCATTGATCTTAATATTTTCAAAAAAAAAAAAAGTCATTGATCTTTCACGCCAGCTATCCTGAAAGTGGGCCCCTACTGTTTAATTTATTAATATAATCACCCTATTTTATTTTAGTTGTACTTGTCCCATCATTTTTATTTAGTTATTTTATTTTATTAGTTACAATATTTTTATTTAATTTTATAAAAAATTCTATTTAATTATTTTAATTTTAATTTATAAAAAAATTAAATGATCTTCTTCAAATCAATTGTCCAATTAATTGTTTACACAATTTTAAATAATATTTTTATATAATTATGAATTGAAAATAAAATTTTTATCAAATAAAATTATTTAATAAAAATTATATATAAACTAAAAAAAATTCAATTATAAATAATAAGTAATCATGCATTTTTATTTACCCGTAAAAAAGTAATCAAATATTTTTAAATAATAGTAGTACTTTTATATATTTTTAGTTGTTATATTTTTATGTGAACCGGGGAAGGGAAATTTAACAAACATTAAGAAAACATCATTAAAGTACTTAGTAGAAGTAAAAAAATTTATTAAAAAAAATTTAGTATATTTATAAAGTAGAAAGTGTAATAACTATATTGAGACAATTATTTATAGGAAGTGTTATAATTAAAATTGAACAAAAGGAAGTGTTATAATTAAAATTGAACAAAAATAGTATTAAATAAAATGCGTTTAGTTTCACTAATTTTATTAATTTATAATTTTTTTAAATAACTAAATAAGGTATTAAAAAATCTCAATCTATAAGTTAATTTAAAACTTATATTAATTATTATATCAACTATCATTATCGGCTATTAGGAATAACAATTTAAGGGTGTCCATATTTAGTTGCCTTGTTGCACTTTCTACTTTTGTAAAGACATTAAATGTTTTATTTCAAATTTTTCCATACTAATTGTCTTTAATGAATTATTTATTTCACATTTTTAGGGGCAAAAATAATGAAGTTGACGTATTTTATTATTTTGTTAAATTTCCTTTTAACTGTGTTACATAAAAAGTATGAACTAAATATAGACAAATGTAGTACTTTTTATTTAATCGTCTTATTTTTTATTTAAAAAATTAAATATTTATATTCTAAATTTATTCCTTTTACTTATTAATGAAAGAGATGTTTCTTTTTAAAATAAATATGAAATTTCAACTTTTAAATGATTGTTTAAATAATATCTTATATGTTAATATAAATTGTGTAATTTAAAATGAGAGAACTAAAGGAGTAAAGTATAATACCATACCGATAACAATTAGAAAAAAAAAAAAAAAAGATTCTGTTTGATAAGTACCAGGCCAAACCCCTGCTTAAAACCCTGAATATTACCAAATACAAGCTATCGGCCCTTGAACTAAAAAAGGAGCACATGAGCCCTTGAACCTAATGGATCAAAAGCAAATCAGCCCTAGCGCTTCACCAACGCCGTCTTTTTATGGTGTTTCGTTGGCAAAGCCCGTTACACGTTGTATCCAACGTGTCATCTATAATTCATGGGTGGGCATTTTCACGCCAAAAGAATATGTATATAACACATTAATAAAAATAAAAATCTTTCTTGAATGTTTGAACAGTGATAAAAAGCACGAAAATTTGCAATTAAAAATCTTGGATTAATAATATAACATATATCATATTATTAAATAAGTTAATACATACAATATTATGTGTCTTAATAATGTAAAAAATTAATTATTAAATAATATATTATTCACTTTTTAATATTTTAATTAAATTAGCTTTTACCAATTCATTAGTCTTAAAATTTTTGTCTTGTCTATTATTTTATTTTATTCACATATTCTTATTTTTAATTTTGAAAATCATGTTTTAATTTGATTACTCATTGTAATGACTTATTTATTTATTTATTTATTTATTTCTTTGTGAATTTGAAACCATATGTATAAACCTAAAATCCCAAATGTTTTAAATTTATCTCTATAGGTTTTTCTAACTTGTGTCTTTGGGCAATTTTTTAACATTTGTTATTATTGAAAACATAAAATTTGTCTCTATTTAATTAATTGACTAATAAAAATGGTATATATGGCAATAGTGATAGAATTAATATGAATTTTTGTTATTTTTAATACAGATTAATGTTAAAAAAAAGTATTGATTACACCCTTAATATGTAGACATAGGTTAGAAAAATGCTCTCACCATAAAGAGTTGTGATATATAAGATGAAAATTAGGGATGAAATTTTGATACAAATGATGTGGTATAAGTCATGTCATTAAATGAATGAATGTATATAATATCAAAAAAGAGTTAATCATTAAAGAATATAAAATTTGTCTTTTAATATTTTAAATGACGTGCCAATGACCTAAATAACTCAATGATAATTTTCCATGATAAGTAAAAGGTCTTGAATTTTAGTCATATGGCATGCATGTACAATGGGGTAAGGGATGAGAAAAAGTTGCTTCTCATTGTGTGTTGGGGTGTGCATGTGATGTAGGTTGACGAGTCAACAGTGAAGGTAATGTGGAAGCTGTTTAGGATGTCACTCGCAAGAAATGAGGAAGGTCCTTTTGGTTGGCACTTATTTCACATGCAAGAGGCTACGTGCCATAGACTGTCTCACTTTTTCCAACAATGATGGTCAACAGCAAATTCTTCAGCAAAGTCTGAAAATGTAAGTTTTCTAGCCATGTCGAGAGAGTTGGGCAGCAATACTGGAGTTCAAAAAACCAAGAGTGATTTTACAACTACCAAAAATAATGACAAAGAGGTGTACATTTTGGTAGGAGCAGCACGAATAGAAAATGTATAAGGATTAAAGGTTACAACTTAAGAAGTACACTTACACATAGTATGTTGTAGCATAATAGTAAAAACACTGAATTTGCCCTTTATTATCCTTGACAAAGACTTTTACTATATAACAAGTAATCCCCATGTTGTGGTGAAAAGCACAATAATCCTCCTCAAGCTTTAACAAGACAAAAGGAATAAACTTGAAAGTAGTGATGGAAGAAAAAAGGATGACTGTCGTGGGGGCTTGTGAATGGAGGGCTTGATCTCATTCTGGATGCTAACCTTTTAACTTAATCCTCTAATGCTTAAGAAAGTAACCTAGAAAGAAACTGAAGTATATTGCCTCCCAACGATGACATTCTACAAGCATGGAAATTATTTTGTAGTGTTGGAAGTGTAGAAAATATGAGAAAAATGGCGATTTCTAGGTGATTTTAGTGAACGGGGTGAGAGGTTGAAGATGAAGAGTTTTTCAAAGGAAAAATGAGGGTTTGGTGCGTGAAGCTGGTTATATGAAATCTATTAAAGTCTTTTCAAAAATGGAGGAAAAATAATATACATTTGCAGTGATAATTTTGTAATTTTTAGGTTAATGGGCCAAGATAGCCCAACAGCCCAAAGGTTAGATTTGGGTTAAAGAAGGACAACTGTTGAGTTTTGACTGGTTTTGGGTATTGCTGACAACTTTTTAAAAAGTGACATCATAAATTATCCAATGGTTCCAACGAAGGACTGTTGGTTTCAACGAAGGACTGTTGGTTTCAACGAAAAATTGCTAGTCTACTAGAGACCACCCATTTCTGGTAATTCTTCCAACCATACGAAATTCCATTTTTGGGGGGTATTTGAGTGCAACTAATAAAAATTAGATCTTCCTAGGATTTTGGTAGATTTCCCAAGCAAAATGTAATGTTGTTTAACAATTTTCAATGTAGTGGAACTTGTGCAGCCACCTTTTTTAACAATTTTTAGTACAATGGAACTTGTGCAGCAATCTTTGCATTAAATACAATTGCAAGTTACTGATGGAGACTTAAATAGCATCTCTGGTTGGTTTTTAACGAGATTCCAAGTTTTTAGTTACCATCAAATGGTATATTTTTGGGATCAAGCATTGCCTCCACGTCTCCGCCACCCAACCCTTCCTAACGAAGTCGAGCAACATCGCTAGTTCAAAACTTGGCTAGTGCGAATACCTTACTTCACCAAATAGGCAATGTTCATCCATCCATCCATCCATGCTCGCCAAGCCACTACTCTTATAGTTTATCCTGAGTAATTCCCATGAGCTTGGATTCATGGACTTGTATTTATCTGCAATGAAAGTAAGATATGAATGAGTACTTGTTCAATTATTCAAGTGTAAAATGTATGAATATGTGCAATGAAGAAGGATACTCCTTTGCATATCGAATGAGATGATGAGAATAAACATTGTTGTGCCTTTTTATCCACTAACTATGGTGAGCACTTGTATAATGCTACTGTGTATGTCTGGCATTGTGCTAGAATAAAGAATGAATAATATGGATGTGTGTTGCAATATCGTTCTCCAGAGTCAAGCATTACTGGTCAATGATTCTTGCTAACACGTAAAATATAAAAGAAATATATTGTAGATTGAGATTAACGGCTACCGATAATTTTGTCCCTCTATATAGAAGAATAATGATGTGCATGACCGTCAGCCATGTTGTATAAGTATCGCAGGATCAGCTATGAATAGCGTCCCCATAGTTAAAGAGATAATAATGGCTAACTTTGTGCATGGCTAGAGCATGAACTATGTTGAATGGAAAGAGCATTCCCACTAATCCACTATCCACCAAGTCATGAAAAGGATAAATCTTATCAAGCTAGACTCCGCCATAGCGATGAATATGTGATAAACGTAGGTGGAGTTGTCTCCATGGAAGGGGGACACCAGCTGCATTCATGGTCTCCAATATAACAAAATGTGATACCATTGACAAACGCTAGCCCTTTTTGTTGTACCCACAAAATTAGAAGGTGGTCCTGATTATTGTTGCCCACTGGACACCACACCACCATACACAGGCGACCATTAAAGGACCACCGATTACAACTTGATAGATTTTTATTGTTGGAGGGTTGCCATCTCATCCAATCTTAGGGTTACAACTATTATTGGCCTTGCACTAATCATACCCAGTTGCGTTGACTCTTTATCCATTTCCGGGAGCTAATGAAATAAAATGTGTAGAGATCTGACCCTTTGCCCATTACCAAGAGCCGATATAATGAAGATATGTAGAAATGTGTACACTTTTGCCCATTGTTGGAGGCTAAATGAGATAGTGAAATTGGTCCTTTGTCAATCACTGGGAGTTATGTAGGTGTAACCTGTTATCCAATGATTGGAGCCATATATGTGTAGCAAAATAAACTCTTTATCCATTGCTGGGAGCCAAAAGATGTAACAATAAATATTACTGTAGAGAACATGACCATAAAAAATGCCCAGCCATGTTGTAGAAATAGATATAGCCGTGTCTGGCCATATATATGGAAATAAATGTTGAAGTGGATCATATTTGTAATGTTTCCAGCCAAGTGGATGAATGCCACTTCTAGCGATATGGATTTTATTGCAATAATCAGTAGAAAATAGAATATTACAGAATTGATGTGGAAATAAATCATGTAGGCCCTTCTTAGTCATAAGTCCAAAGTTGGCCTTGCTGACGTGGCGCTGCACATGTCATCAAATACAAATTCATCCCTTAACATTGTGTAATCAAGATAAAAAAATTTTAAATGACGTGAGTTATGTCATATCATTGGTCCCAAATTTCACTTCCAAAATTTTCATCCTATTTATCATTGGGATAAAAATTTGGAACCAATGACATAAGTTGCATCTTTTAAAATATTAAAATGTAAATTTTATATTATTTAATAATTAATTTTTTAGTTTTATTGAAACTTATAATATTATATATATTAACTCATTTAATAATATATTTTATGACACATCATTAATGTAAATTTTTATTACTTGTATCACCACTCAAATCTTTATAAATGCTTTTTTTATTAATAGTTATGCATCGTATTCCCAAAATAAAAATGTCCACTTATGAACTTACAGAATAACACATTGGATGCAACATGTAAAAGGCTTGCCATGTAGCCCTATAAAATGACGGCATTGGTGTTGCCGTTCACACAAGACTGATAAATTTAATTGGTTCAATGGGTTATGTACTCATTTTTTAGTTTAGGGGCTAGTAGCTTATAATTAGTAAAGTCCAAGGGTTTAAGAAAGGATTTTGCCTAAGTACTACAAGTTTCATTCTCGTAAAAATAAATAGAAAATTTTGTTTCATTCTATAGAAAAAGAAAAAATCATTTACCAACAAAAAAAGAAAGGGTAAAAAATAAAAAATACCCTAGTTTGGTGTTAGCCTTAACAGGAGTTACAACGGACCGTGATAGGAAAGTTTTAAAGGCAAAAGTATGGTTTAAGGACTCGAACTTGCACTAAATTCATAATTTTTAGACTCAAACTTTAATTGCACTCAATTAAGATTTTAAACTTCACAAAATTTTTAAATAAGGTTCCAATTAGATGAAAAATTAACTTACCATCAAATATCTTACTGAACAAATATATTGCTGCTATAGACAGTAAGTTAATGAATATTAATGAAGTCGATAAGACATTTGATGAGAAGCTAATTTTTCATCCAATTGAGATTTTATTTGAGATTTTGTATAGTTTGAGACCTTAATTGAGCAAAATTAAAGTTTGGGTCAAAAATTACAAATTTGGTGCAAGTTCAGTTCCTCATAGCATACTTTTGCCAATTTTAAATTGAAAAAATAAAAAAATATATATAGGTCAAATAAAACGATAAATATTTTATTTAATTTCAATTAATTATAATTTAAATATGAATATTGTATTAAAGTTTATATGTATAATTTTTGCATGTTATCAAAGTGAGAATATTTCCATCAAGTTCATAACTTATGTAATACCCCAAAAATTTCAAGCATATTAAGTTGAGTTAGGGACTTAATGATGAAGAAGCATTATTAATGGACCTAATTGTCAATTTTTCAAACTTCAAAGGGGTTAAACTCTTATTGGATAAGGCCGGCTGACTCATCTCTTTTTCCTTTTTCTTTTCTTTCCTTCTTTCTTCCAGCCATTTTTCGCGTCTGCTCTGTTTTCTTCTCCCTGCTACTGCCGAACATCACCAGCATTTCCAGCGTCCCCATCTGCAAAAATTGGTAAGAGAACTTGATGGTTTTTGTTCTCCTCTTGCCCAAGAACGAGTCTAGGACTTAGAACCTCCTTCTTTTGCAGAAAAGCCGTCGAATCTGCTCTGTTTCCTCCCCCTCTGCCGCCGGCTGCTGCTGGTTTTCTTCCTGGTAAAACCAGCCCATAAATTCCTCTTTTCAGCTTTAGTTTGTGTGAGTTACTCTAATTCTCTTTTCTTTCAATTGCTAGAAGTCCGCGTGAAGCTCCCCTGCCATTTTTCCCGCCGGCACTTCCTCATCCCGCCAGCTCCAGCTTGCTTGTTGAGCATTTTTGGTAAGTTGGCTTCTCTAATCCTTGAAAATTGGTGGATTAATTGTTGCTTGTGAGCTTAATTAGTTGTGTGGGTGTTTGGGTTGTCAAGGACCAA